AACAACTCCCTGATCACTTCTTCTAGTCTCCATGGTTTCTGAAACGAAATCTCCTGTCAGTCTTGTTTTTTTCCCCTATAAGTAAGGTGTTATTTTTCTAATGCTACATTCAAGTTATTTTTCTTTAACTTTAGTTTTTAGAAGTTTTATTACTATTTGTGGAATCTTAGTGTGGTGCTGTAGGATAGTGCTCTGGATCAAAAGATAAGTTTGAATCACAAGGTTGGCAGTTCAAACCCACAAACTGCTCCTTAGAAACCCTATACAGAGTCGCTATGGGTCGGAACCAACTCAGTGGCACTTAACAACATTTATATGTATATATATATGTATATTGGCATGGATTTTTAAAAAATTCATCTTGTTTGGTATTTGTTTAGTTTTTTTAACCTATAGGTTTATATCTTTTGCCAATTTAGGGACATTTTTAGCCATTATTTCTTTGAATATTTTTTCAACCCTCTGGTAGCATAATGGTTTACACAATGGGCTGCTAACTGCAAAACTGGCTGCTCAAACCCATCAGCTGCTCTGTGGGAGAAAGATGAGGCTTTTTGCTCCTGTAAAGATTTGCAGTTTAAAAAACCCTATTCAGGATCACTATGAGTTAGAACTGAGTTGATAACACACAGCAACACCTTGTTCTTATTTTTTCTTTCCTTCTGGGACTCCAGTGGCAGCAATATTAAATCTTTTGTTATAGTCCCACAAGTCCCTGAGCTTTCTGTTAATTTTTTTTCCACTCTATTTTATCTTTATTTTTCAGATTGGGTCATTTCTATCATTCTACATTCATGCTTACTGATTCTTTGCTCTGTCTTTTTTATTCTGTTGTTCAATCTATCTATTGAATTGTTTGTTTTTATTACTATATTTTTAAGTTCAAAGATTTCCATTTGGTTCTCTGTATATCTGCTATTTCTTTTCTGAGACTTTCTGGTTTTCCATATGTTTTAAGCATGGTGTAATTACTCACCGGGAGTCCTGGTGTGGCACTGCAGGATATTGCAATGAACCGCAAGGTCTGTTTGAACTGCAAGGATGGCAGTTCAAAACCATCAGCTGCTCCTCAGAACCCTAGACAGGGTCACTGTGAGTCGGAATCTACTCGACACTTAACAATAATAACTCATTGAGATGCTTGTATGATGACTTCTTCAAAATTTTCATCAGATAATTTCAACATCTGTGTCATCTCACTATTAATATCTTTAATTACCTGTTCTCATTGAAATTGAGATTTTCCTGTTTCTTTGTGTGACAATTGATTGCCAAATGTATTTTGGGCTTTATGAATGAAACCACACCATTGTGGATAGGAAGCTACCACCTTATTACTATCAATAAAAAGTGAAAGTCCAGGTTTCCCACTCATTTTTTTTTTTTTGACATTTGGCTGGGGAAACAATGCCTTGTTACTGACTAGAAGAGAGAGAATGTCAAGCCTCCCACTTGGCTCTTTTGACACCGCCTGTCCTAGGAGGGGTATGAGTGCCTTGTTACAGTTCTTCTTTTGACCTCCGCTGACACCTTGGAGGGGGGCATGTTTTCATTACTGCTGGGTTGTAGTGAAAGTCCTGAGTCTACACTAAACCTCGTCTGGCATCACCTCACTGAGCGAGGAAAGAAACACCTTGTGTTACCACTGATGAGGGTATGATTGTTCATGAACCCCACCTAATCTCCCCTGAAATCACAAGGTGGGTAAGGCTTTAGTTGCTGGCTGGGAGGGACAAATGTTTGATTCCCTGCTTCACCTTCTCTGATACCAGTCATACTGATAAAGAGGCAATCTCTATTTGGTGGCTAACAGGGAATAGTTTTTGCCATATGTTTCGTGTCAGTTAAGAGTACTTGCTATCCAAAGAAGAAGGGCCTTTAATCTCAGTGGACTAAACCCAGAGTCTAAGCCAATTCCCCTGGAATTGGGACTTCTATTTTATGTGGAAAACTGATGGAGATCTAAGGAAGCACTTTTGCATTCAAATACACTGAAGACTTTAAAAAACAACCCATTTCATTAAACTCCTAAGTTAGATAATTGCAAGTTCCTCTGTAATGAAATGAATTGTTAATTATGAATTTCTTTTATTCTCTTAGGGTGACTCTGGAGGACCACTGGTTAGTCCAAATGCTAGGGATATCTGGTATCTTGCTGGAATAGTGAGCTGGGGAGATGAATGCGGGAAACCCAACAAGCCTGGGGTGTATACAAGGGTGACTGCCTTCCGGGACTGGATCGCCTCCAAAACTGGTGTCTAAGAGAGAAAACCTAAAGACATATGAACTCTTTCATTTTTGGCTGGAAGGGATGTAGGTCATTCTTAAAGATACAAAATTGTAAAAGGAATTTTGCAGATGACCAGAATGTGACCAATGTAACTAAGCTGTTGGATGCATACATTTTCTTCCAAACTCTACTCTACACGAGCCTCTTTCTTTAGCCTGATGGATTCTGTCCCTAGGAGTTTGATATCATCAAAATTTTGGTTTGACATAAATTTCTCATGTGTGTACAGAATTTGAAATGATTCCTTTATTCATTTACCAAACTTTACTTATCTCAGTAAATTTCTACTTTCAAGGAGTGAAATTAATCATAACAAGGAAAACATCACTAGTGGTATAAGGAAAATGATCATACTCATTATAAAAGGTCAAGCAAACAGACAACAGAACATCAAACACTTAATGACCGAGAACAAATGGGATCTGAGTTAAAAATTACAGAAAGAAACCAAGCTATAGTTTCATTTTTTTATATCTAGTCAAATAACTCCTGAGATACATGGTGAGAAGATTCCATTTTCTTGTGACCTAACAATAATTATACAAATTTTATGTAATGCACTTGTTCTGACCAATTTAAAACAAACAAAAAAATGTTTATTTTAACATTATACTGCTAAGGAATGTCATTAAATAATAACAAAACATATATAAATCACCTATGTGCTTGACATTATAAAATGATAATCCATGAGTAAGCGAAAGATGGGAAAAATGTCACGCGTCAATTTTTTTGTGACTTCTTTAAGATTGAGGCTATAATGAAAATTTACTTAAGATCAACCAGTATGTTTTCTGTGGTAAAATTTTTTCATGTGGTTGAGTGGGAGGGAAGAAAGAGATAATCTATCCAAATTATTTAATCAAATGAGATTAAAAACAATGGCTTGAACATTTACATTTAGGAGAAAGAGCCAGGTGTTAGAGTGTAGTTATAGTCCTACAACTGAACCCAGGGCTGAGAACTGCAGTCTAATATTATGGTAGATAGCTTTCATCCCCATTGCTATATTTGCAGTCTACATAGGCCTGGTGATTTTGACCTCATCTGGGCACACATGGAAGGTGTCATGGGGAAATCATCCCGGAATCTGCCTCTATATTGCATCTAATCTGGCATTGAATTGCTAACTACCTGGATGTGAAATTGAAGACTAAAAACTTAATATCAGCCACTTTTATAATGTGAGTTTTAAAAATTATTCCTGAGTTGTTTCAGAAATAACATTCAAGTGAATTGTGAAGTTAGGAATGGTACTATGTTATATGGGCAGATAAACACTGAGATTCCATTGGATCTTTCAGCTACTTTTCCTGAATTATACAGCTACTTGTGTAAGTTCTTTACAATATGTGCTTTGAAAATCAAAAGTATTAGGAAAAATTTCTTTTCCACGGACCCAAGTAACATTAGAGCTGATAAAATTAGGAAGGTTGGTTAAGATTTTAAAACTGACATGAATTAATTGTGTTAACCTATTATATAAAAGATATTTGTTCCATTTAATGAAATGTTTTGGAAAAAATAATTAAGTTTGAGAAAAGTGATGAATTTTTAAGATATAAATACATTTCAAACTTAGTTACTCTCACTGTCCCATTATTAAGAGAATTCTTGGTGGAACAGTGGTTAAGTCCCTGTCTATTAAACGCAAGGTTGACAGTTTGTACTGGATTCCTAGTCACAAGGATGGTGGGTCAAACCCATCAGCTGCTCCTTGGAAACCCTATACAGGGTAGCTGAGTCGGAACCGACTCCACGGCACTTAACAACAACAAGCCTCTCTGAGGGAGAAACATGTGAAGTAAGCTTCTGCAAAGAGCAAAGCCTTGGAAATCCTGTTGAGTAGTTTTACTCTGTCCTATAGGACTCTCGCTCCGACTGACCTGACAGCAATTTTTTTTTGGTGTTGTTGCCGTTACTGTTACTGTTCCATTAAAAATTGAGTCCCCTTTTCTCAGTGTATTCTCAAATTAGGCCTCTAGGTGGCACCTCTAATCTGTAAGTAAGAACCAAATGCTTGAATGATGTCTGGAGCTTCAAAGAATACTGAAAAAATATAATAGAAAGTCAGTATCAAGGTCTTGAAATACAAAAGAATACGTTCATCTTTGCATAGGCACTTAAAATAAATGTATGTAAAATGTCATTATTAATATTTTCATTTCTGGAGATTAGATTCCAAACAAAATAATTGTGAAGTGTGTGAGTTGAGGAATTTCTTCGGTAATAAATAAGAAAATTTAAATTAAGGAGAAATTTTTAAGGTTTAATTTTAAATGGCATTATACATCTTAGAGAAGAATTCGTGAAATAGCTCTCTGAGTCACAGTGAAAATCTGAGCAATAGTTCAAACTTCATGTGCACAGAGAAATAGATAATACAGAATCGTATTTTTAAAAATGAGGAGTCATTTTGAAAGATATCTCAGCACTTCTGAGCTTGTCCCTGTTAGCCATTTTATTGAAAAGGAGTCAGGGCTATAATGATATTTTTTAATTGTACAAGAGGGTAGACATATCCTTATCTTTTACCTCTTTTCCTCTAAACCTTCTAAAGTTTTCTGTATATAATAATCTTTCAATAAATGTTGTTAAATGGCTCTTTTATTTTTGTATTATGCAATAAACATAGCTTTATTATTGTTTAAAAATCAGTTTCAAGAAGTATTTCCTAGCGTTTACTAGTTTGTGTGTCTTAAGTTATTTAAACACTCTAGGCCTCTATTTAAATACCTCTTAGACCGAGATGGAAAGAGCTCTGGTAGCGTAGTGGTTACAAATCGGGCTGTGAACCATAAGGTCAGCTGTTTGAAACTACCAGCTGTTCCGCAGGAGAAAGATGAGGCTTTCTTCTCCTATAAAAATTTACAGCCTCAGAAACCCTGTACAGGGTCGCTATGAGTCGGAACCGATTCCACGACACATAACAACAACAACAAAGACGGAGGTGATTGTAAGGATTTAAATAAGGTAATTTTTGAAAATGTTTAGCACAGTTCTCGATATATGGTAGGTGTTCAAGAAATGGTAGATGTTATAATATAATGAAAATAGTCATGTTTTAAATATTATGATGCTTGATTGTAATAGGTTGAATAAATATTTTTGAAATGAAGACAAATAGTAGAATGGACTGGTTTCTTGTTTCATGCTGAGTCTAAAAAGAAGTTTTATTGACATCATTCCAAAACATGTTGTTTGTAAAGGTGTTCTCTATGACAAGGTTATTGTTAAGTGTCATCAAGTCAGACCCATAGTGACTCTGTATAGGGTTTCCAAGGAGCAGCTGGTGAGCTTGAACTCTTGACTTTGTGGTTCAAACTGACTTTGCAGTCTAGTGCATTAATTCACAGCACCACACCAGGACTCCCTGTCACGATGCAGATTTATTCAAAGTGTTCATTTCACTATTATAAATTGATAATCTTTATTAAGCATGAAACAACAGAATATAAAATCAGTTCAAGTGTTGATTCTTCTATGAAGATTTTTTACTTCTTCCAATGCAAGCAACATCCTCATCTTCATACAATTCTTTAACTTAATGCTTTTTGAGATAATTGTAGATTCATATGCAATTGTAAGATGTAATAGAGTGGTCTTGTATACTCTTTATCCAGCTTCTTCCCGTGGTAACATTTCACTTACATATTGCATGATGCCAGTCAGGAAATTGATATTAAGACAATCCATCAAAGTTTTCAGATTACCATGGATTGTAAAAATGTGCAAAAATGTGTGTGGGTTTGTTGTTGTTAAGTGCCGTCAAGTCAATTCCGACT